TATATATATTTTTTTTTTTCTTTTTTTTCTTCTCTCGTCATAATTATTATCGTTGACCGGTAACAAAAAAATAAAGAAAAAAAAAATAAGACTCTCGCAAAATGGTGCAGATAATATAATTTTTCTTTCAACGATTACTATAGTACGTTATAATTTTGTTCTGCGTCGCAATTTTCATCGTGCATACATCCATTAATACAGGATGAGTTTAAAAAAAGTTTTTATTTAGGCCAAAAATTGCTTAAGTAATTTTATCAATCAATTATACACCTTTTTCTAGATTTGTTTAGATTAATTTATGTTCAATTAAACCGCAAGTTTAACTACAAGTTTATAAATGTTTGAGGGGAAAAATACGAATTTATTTATAAAATCATTTAAAAATTTTTGACACAAATAAAAACTTTTAACAACTCCCCTTCCTCCCCCTTCTATACATATACATACGTCGTTTATAATTTCCGTCCTTCGTAAAAATACATTTGAAGAGACAAATAGACATTTATATATATTTAGACACACACACACACATACATCCTCGCACTTTATTATTAGCATCTATATTTGATTAGACAATGTTGTCAATAATTAAATGGCGATGTATTAACAATATCCATGAAATCCAACGAGATATATATATATATATAAAAATAGTTTTAAATTTGAGACAAGTTTTGTATATTTAAAAAATAAATTCTCCGAGAAAGAGACTTTTTTCAAAAATGAATTCGAATATACTGTCGAAATTTTGATTTGTATTTATTTTCTTTTCTTTTAGATAGATTCACCGAAAATACTAATTACGAAAAAGAGAATTTATTTAATTATAATTGCAATTAATTAATTAAATTATTTTTTAAAACAAGAACGAGAACTTGAACATTAGTATAATAACAAAATGAAAATAATCAGATTTTTATAATCACAGTTCATTGTATTACAATGTTACATGTGTGTGTGTTTGATATAGAAAAAGAAAGCACACCCACACTTTAACAATGGAAGTGTATGACTATGAAAAAATTAATTGAGCAAATATTTTTTTTCTGATTTTTTTTGTCTTCTTCATCTCTTCTCCCAGCGAATCCTAGATGCAACATAGAGAGACGACAAAATGATGAGCGAAGCCATAAAACTTTATACGAATGGCTTTTAATGGATAAGTTTAAACTGTATTTTTTGCACGTGCGAATTTCTATATTATTATTACTATTATTATTATTACTATTATTATTATTACTATTATTATATTACTGATAAGCGCAATTTCTATATATGAAACACTTGTGGCCTTTATCTATTATATATATATATATAAACAAATACGTACGTTGAAATCAGTATACTGTAATAGGACGCAGAAACTTGGGGGTATTTTGGCCCTTTAGTTTCACATATTTTTTCATTAAAGCCCAAATCAACGTACATGAAAAAGATTTAAAATATCGAATGAATGTGAGAGAAAGTTAATATGTTTTAATCGTAAAAAAATTCTCTGTGCGTATGTGTGCGTGCATGAAAGAGAGAGAGAGAGAGAGAAAGAGAGTGATTTGATTATAAGAACAAACGAATGAATGAATGAATAAAGGAATAATAAAAAAAAATCAAAAAATAAGTATAAAAAAAAATGAATGATTAAATAAATGAATAAACATGATAATATGGCTGTCTGGTACGCCATAGAATTTTTTTAAACGATTCTTTATTTTCTTTGATTTTTCTTTTTAATTTTTATTTTATTATTATATATATTTTTTTTTATTTTTAAATTATGTAAAAAGAAAATAAAGATAATTTGATAAAACTTTAAGAAGAGACGAACACAACTATCTTCAAATGCTGCCAATTTTTGCTTTTTTAGTTTGTTTGCTTGTTTTGTTTTGTTTCGATAACATAATATCAAACGGTATTGAAAAACATAAGAATAATTAATTATTGCAGAAAGTGAGTGTGAGAGAGAGAGAGAGAGTGTGTGTGTGTGTATGTGTGTGTGTGTGTGAGAGAGAGAGAGAGAGAGATAGAGTTCGCGAGAGCATTGTAGATAATAATTAATATGATTAAACAGTTTGTACTTTGATAATACTTTATTATTACACGTTATTGTAATATGCAATAGGAAGGTTTAAAACACACTACAGAAAGAAAAAAGAAAACAATAATATAGATATTTTTTGATTATATGTTATATTAAAATTTACAAATTAGTAAAATTATATTATTATTATTATTATTATTATTATTATTATTATTATTAGATGTAGTAATATTATTATATTATTATTATTATATATTATTATTATATATTATTGACTATATTAATAATATTATTAAAGGAATAGTATCGAATGAGAGTTAGAACAGAGAGCATTTTATAGTCGTCTTTTTGTACTAATAAGAATAGTGATTATACGTGCAGATATATATATTAAACCCTTTTGCTCCGACGGGTGTATGTATACGCTCTCGAAGAATAAACATGCATATACGATGAGCGTATATATACGCTATTGAAAAGTGGGCGATCAAATAAAAAAGAACAACACGCTTCGTACACAGTGATCATATTTTGTTACAAGCGCATCGGAGCGAAAGGGTTAAATACAAAAAAATATATACGTATATATATGTAGGTATATATAAAAAAAAAACGATAGTTAAGCATGACGCACGATAATGTCACGTTGTAAGATTTGAGGAATAGACGAATAGAGTTCTTTTTTTTATAATACAATTAATTCGTCTCGATACTCTAACAACTATAATAATATATTTGGCTATTTAGAGTTTCATATGGAGACATTCCAGAAAACAATATATATCGTTGGTCCGATTTATGTTAAAGGCCGTCGGTCATTTTTTCTAATCTAATCTAATCTAATCTAATCTAAAATTATTCTCGAAAATTGTGTATTTTTCTTTTATTTTCTTTTTTTTTTGTGCTACATACGAAATAACATTGGTATTTTATTTTTGAGAATATGCACGTTATATATCACCATAATTAAAAATATAATTTATATAATTATCATAAATAAATTATTAACATATTAAAATGATAAAAAATATTCCATATACTACCAGGAATAATATAAGACTATTAAAATCGATAAGGAATGCTTAATTATTGAGAAATAAATTATTAAAGTTTTTCGTGCACATGGTTCAATGCATTTTCTGTAAATTTATATTTATTATTAGTGCTTGTTAATTCAATTGTCTCAAAAATGCATGAAACGTAAGCGGAACACATGACAATATAAGAGATTAACGAAATAGATCGATAAAAAAGATTTTATGATTATCGACATAGTATTGCAGATTTCTGAACTGGTCATCGGTATTGTAGATTTCTGAATTTACCATCGGTATTGTAGATGTTTTTATTGGTCGTCGGTATTATAGATATATTTCGACGACAGTCTCTTTATCGATTTTTTTTTAATCGATCGAGCAACCAAAAAAAAAGAAAAGAACTGCGCATGTATGAAATACTCGTGTCTCTAATTGCAAGAAACGCTTCGGTAGAAGTTGACACTGTCAAGTCAGTAGTTTAATCGACGCATTTCGTAGTAACAATGTTTTATAATAGAACGAAAGAAATAAATATCGGTGAAATGTTTAGTTCTGATTATTCCGACGACGATGAGAACAAGTTCAGGTGAAGAAAAAAGTATTTAATTTACGTCAAGAGAGAAAATCAAACAACACACACACATGTGTCTATTTTACGTAATGTCTTGTTTGTGATTCGTTATCAAAGTTAAGAATCGGAACCGGCATCGAATTGTTGCTTTCGCAGACATCATACGGTATTAGCCTTTTTTTCTTTGTTTACACATCTATGTACGATGGACATTAAAAGATAAAAATAAGTGTTCTACAATTTGTGTGTTAATTTGATTAACGATTTTAATATTTAATTTTATCTTATTATGTGTAATTTTAATTGTACATCAAAGATACTTGAGACGTATTATATTATGTAAAATCTTCGGAATATTTCATCGTGTACGTATTATATTTACATAGCGTTCTTTTTTAGAACAGTATCCTTGCTGATGCCATGTTGGTCACGTGTGTGTGTCGTGCAAAAAAAAGAATATCTTTCATTTGATATTTCATACGGTATTTCATTTATTCTTTTACAACATTTCTTGAGTTACACGTTAGAAATATTTAATGCGATTTTATCGATCGAAAAGATAATTTGTAAAAATTAAGGTTATCGTCTTAATGTCATTATTGTTTAATTTATTTAGCTTATAATTTATTCTTTTCTATACATTGTGTGCATATGTAAAACTATATTCACTATTTCGAGTTACATAATATTGTAGTCGTTTCTTTTGTTAATAATAAGCTGCCTGTTAATAATTCGATCGCTAAAATACTGCGAATGCTTGTGTAATCCGATTCCCATTTACACAACGTTTTCAAACCCTGCAGGGTTTGGTTCTCTATGTGTATCGACGATTAATCCAGTTATCTAACGCATTGTTACGATAAGGACATTAAGATTAACTTATTCGGAGAATTTCTAATCATTTCTTTACTTTTCTTTCATATTTTCATTATTAATATTAATATTATTATTATTATTATTATTATTCATTTTTATTTTAATGAATTTTCTTTTTTCCACCCAAAATGATTTTGGACAAATTCATTTTCTCGCGCCAATCAATTAGCGGGATATTCAAATTGAAATTCTTATTTCACACTTTTCTTTTCTTTTTTTCTTTTTGAATATAAATAAAATTGATTTGACACTGATCAATTAAATGAATGATAATTGGTTTATTTTTTGTTTATTTAGAAATAAAGGTTCATATAGTCCAACTAACGAATACGAAGAGTCATTACAGGCAATGAGTGATATTTATGGACAGACTCCACCAAGAACACGTCTCAGTCGTAAGAAAAGACACATGAAACAAAGATTGGCTGGAGGGTACGTCTTCGAGTTATTCAATTAAACTCTTACTATCTCACCAATTAATCTATCTCCTACATTCTTTTCCTTTTGTGTTTTCTTACTGTCCTTGTCTATTTATCTTCATTGTTCAATGTGTACGATTGAAAAAAGAATGCTACTTGTCTAGTATAAATTTTTATATCTATCAAGTTTGCTATTATGATAAATATTAAATTCTATGCTTGTGTTAATGCGTATTGAAATGTGTTTGTTAGACATACTTAAATCCATTGGATTGCTCAACGATAACGATTTGAAAAAAATGTAGATCATGTTTCTTATCAGAATGAATGATTCTCTTTGGTATTACTCAAAGAAGTTTTTGATTTAATTAACTTTGTTTTTTATTATTATTATTAGAGAGACAAAATCTTTGGAGAAAGAATGTCGACCTAAATTTAATATGAGAAGAAGGAATACGTTAGATACTATTATCTTCAATGTAATGTGCGACGAGGCAGACAAATGTCGTGAAAATGAAGCAAAGGAAGAAGTCGTTAAGGAAGGCAATAGGAAATGTAAAAGAAGTTTAAAACTTCTACGTGGTAATGAAAGGGATTTAAAACTGGATGTCGAAGCTGCTCTTAATTATGCAGAAAAGTCCGAATGTTTCATGCCATATACACCGAATAATATGAAAGTAATTTATTTCTTTTTTATTTTATGCGCTTACTTAAATTTTGAACACAAGATTTTTATCATTGTTAAAATTAATTTAATAAATTCGTTGAAATATTTGCAGATAGAAACGAAGAATAGATTTCGTAGTTTGAGATCGAAACCAATTGACGTGGAAGAGAAGAAACAGGAAACCAAAGCTGTCCAATTAGCTGTTTCATCGACGGAGGAGAAAATCTTATCTCAATCACCAATGTCACAAAGTTATTCAACACGACAAATCTTTTATGAAACATTTTCTTTTATTATTAAATTGGTACATAGTTTTAATAACATATTATCTGATTCATTATAATGTAACATTTATTGGTATTATATTGTAAATATTGTCTTATAGGGAAATACAGAGCGTAATTGTCGTAGGCAAATGAGTCATGAAGAGACTCGATGGCAAAACGAATTGAAAGATTTAATTTGGTTGGAGTTACAAGCGCATCATGCTGACCGCAGTCCGATGGCTCAAGACGAATACTTGTGCAAGCAACGAGAAGCAGTAGGGTCATTACTTAAAGAAATAATAGAATATAGGTATGCAAAAAATAATAAAAATATCAGTAAGTAATATCAACATTTAATAAAATTTTGTTTTTTTTTTCTTCTTAGATATAATCAAACCGCAAATCGTCCTCCGATTTCGCCGAGTCTAAATGATAGCAATGAACAGAATTTAAATTCCAATATATGTATGGGAGTAGCAGAACAAACAAGTTTATGTTCAGGTTGTCTTTCTATGTATTGCCGACCATGTGTACGTGCACAAGGAGAAGCGTTAAGACAAGTGGAAGGATTGTTGGGACGATTAGAAGCTGCCGAAGCTTTATATCCATCGTCTCAGGCATTTGCTACTCATTATCCTTTGTACAAAAGTCCTGAATTTACTGGAAGAGTTAAGGCCATGTGTCTATGGTATAATATGACTAAACATCATAGATTAAAGTTACAAATTTTAGGGAAATTATTAATGATGCTTCATACCAAAAAAAAACAAGATGAAACATCTGATTCTGGTATAAGGTATTTACTTTATTTTTAATCCAATAAAATCATATTTATATCGATCGATTCTAATTAATCTTTCGTTTCTAAGTTCTCGAGGTTCAGATGTGACAGATTATTCAGAACCCAGACGAACCATGATTCGTTTTGAATTATCTCAACAAGATGAAGTTTCAAATCCATCCGACAGTAACAATAGTAATAATTCGTCTCTTGGTGGTATGTCCTTGGCACAGTCATGGCCATCTACTCCAGAATCCTCATTTTCATATATTGACGACGAAAGATTAGATCGTTTTGATTTTTATCTGGTAGAATTTGATCGCTTGGCTTACAGGTATGCAATTACTATTACAAAAATTTCATTGTTACAAACCTTTATATAGAATAAATGTCTTATACCTAGAAAATACATAGAGGATGTACTCAAAACTAGAGGATTGAGGAAGAGTCTTAATTTTTTGGAAAGACTGCACACTTCTGTACTTAGAAAAGCGAGACTTACTTTAGAGAAACATGATGAGAACGATAACGACAGTGCTAACGAGGAATATGATGGTGATAAGGAATTAAAAAGATATGGTGTATGGAGCCAAGAAGCTAAAGAATTAAATCTTCCATCTTATCGGTTAAAATAATTGATTATTAAAGTACTAATATAATAAAAAACAAAACAAATGAATTAAACATACTGACAAATGGTTTATTGTTTTAGGGCTGCGTTTGTATTTTTGTCACGCGTTCCGTTAGACGTGGTACACGAATTCTTGAGAATGAGATTAGAACAAAAGCCAGAACAACCAAGTCCATTGTCGGTACGTCAATTAATGCGCGAACTCAGAGAAGGACTTAGAATTGCTTGCATACACAGAGACAGATTTTCTACGCATTCTCGTACCGCTGTAGCCAGCGATCTTTGTGCATGCGATACTCTTTTCGAGGCGGAAGTTAAGGAATTCGACGAGAGCTTGAAAGCTGTGTTCGAAGTTTATTTGAATTATTTGCAACAGTGGGTTGATATGGTACAACACGATAGCTTTCATAAAAATTTAATTATGGACGAATGGATCTTCGTCAAATCTATCGCAGGAGATATTATTGGTGGATATAAAATAGCTGGAGTTAAATTTTGGTAAAGAATTAAATGTTATTTATATATGATATTAAAAAATAAAGTTTCTGATTTATTTATTATTTTTGTTAGTGAAATTGCTAGAACAATGATTATACAAGTGAAAGAATTTCTCGTGGAACGTCCCAGGGAGATCAAGGAATCAGTAGATGAAAGAGAAGATGATGATGAATGGTCAGGCAAGTAAGAGATGATTCGTTCGTTAAATTGTGAACTGCTTTGCAAATGTTTGTTTCATCCTAATAAATGGTTCAGATTTCATTTTATGTATGTGGGACGTGAATGGCAAGGAATGTTCGTGGAAGCTCGGGAAAAGATTGTCAAGAGCGTTACCTTGGCTAAATGTTTAAAGCGAGATATTGAAAAATGGCCGGCACTTAATAACGAGTTAGAGGAAGCTTTAACAGCGTTAAAGGTAATTATTAAAAAAAGTAAACATTTATTGTAAAAAATCATGATTATTTATTTAGGAAATAGTTATGAATCTGAGACATCGTATAACCACAGTCATCGAAGATTTTCAAAACGATCTTAATCAAGCAGAAGAACCCAATGTCGAATGTGATCTTACGACTATGCGTTCAAGGATTAGAGAAATACTTCATCAGGCTTATAGAATGGGATTTGATTATTACAAAGAGATGTGTAAATTATTTTGGTTGGAAGAGAAAGCTGTTCTAACACGCGGTCTGGTATCCTTTGCGTTACTTTGGATGGAATTCGTTAAAACCAGATGCGAACGAGGAAGAGGTTTGAGACCCAGATGGGCTAATCAAGGTTTTGAATTTTTAATACTTGTTTGCGAGCCTCATTATACTAAACATTTAACTAACGAAGAGTTTGAAGAATTAAAAACGTCCATGGATCGTTGTATTTCTCATGTCATCGGAACAGCGTCCGTGTCGCCTTCAGATATTGACGGTAAATTTAATGTTTTCTTTTATTTATTTATTAATACTTTTTCATATATATTTTCTATCAATAATGTGCTTTCTTAGGTTTGAAAAGATTACCTCGATCAAGAGCATCTTCACCGTCTCATTCTCGTAGCAGAACAGCTAGTATAAGTACTTCGCACAAATCTCGAGACGTTTTAAAATCACCGGAGCTTCTGTTGAAAAAATCTATCTCACAGAGTGCAGTCGACGGTAATCTGACAGTTAATTTAAATATGTCTAGGCAAGGTAGAATAATCAAAGCTATTAAAACGGTGGATCATAAAATTGATGAAAGATTGAAAAATCAAGAACTCATTGGTCAAGTGACTGACAAGAAAGCTGTCGATAGAGTTCATATTAAAGCTAGACAGGTAACGTTTACTTGGCAAAGAGGAATTAAAATAGGTATGTGTTTTTTAATCTATGCAGGATATCTCAATAATATTATTTGATTTATATCTTTGATAATCTTGTTAAAGGTCAAGGAAGATTTGGAAAAGTTTACACCATAGTTAATAATCAAACCGGTGAATTACTGGCTATGAAAGAGGTTCAATTACAACCTGGTGATCACAGAGCGATCAGAAGAGTAGCGGAAGAACTTCAGATCTTTGAAGGCATACAAGATAATCATCTAGTTCGTTATTATGGTTTAGAAATTCATCGTGTAAGAAATCATATTAAAAATATTATATAAGATATAAAAATTATGATTTATATTTATGAGAATTTTTCTTTTTTCTTTTGTTTTTTCTTTTTTGTAGGAAGAGATGTTAATATTCATGGAATTCTGTGCAGAAGGAACTTTGGAAAGTTTGGTAGCAGGAAGCGGAAATGGTTTACCCGAATCTTTAGTTAGAAAATATACACATCAGCTTCTTTTAGCTGTAGCAGCTTTACATTCTCATGGTATTGTTCATCGCGATATTAAAAGTGGGTAGTAATAATAATTAGTTATAATTTCATGTTTCAGGTGTATTATAAAAATGATCTTATCTGTCTTTTCGTAGCCGCAAATATATTTTTGACCAACGAAGGCAACTGTTTGAAACTCGGTGATTTTGGTAGCGCAGTGCAAATAAAAGCGCATACGACTATGCCTGGTGAACTTCAAGGATTCGTCGGTACTCAAGGTTCATATTTCATTTATATATATAAATATTTATTTTTATTATAATCGTTTTTTACATTATATTTTGCTGTTATATTTTTTAGCTTACATGGCACCAGAAGTATTTATGAAGACTGAAAATATTGGACACGGTAGAGCCGTAGACATTTGGTCCATTGGTTGTTGCATTATTGAAATGGCTAGTGGAAGAAGACCTTGGTCGGAATATGATTCTAATTATCAAATTATGTTTAAGGTATTTTTATGGCTATCATTAACAAATATATAATCAAGTTAGATATATTAAATTTTGTTTAAATTTATATTTTTAGGTCGGTATGGGTGAAAGTCCTGCGATACCAAAGACATTATCATTAGAGGGTATAGATTTAATTAAGAAATGTTTGCAACATGATCCAAAAAAAAGATATACCGCTAATACTCTTCTTACATTACCTTTTGGGCAAACTTACGAGGACGTTAACGCGGATTTAACTGTTGCACGTTTTTGATCATCATATTAAAAGACTTGCATTATTGCATATATCTGCTAGCCATTAATTATTATTAACGTACTTTAATTATTTTAAAGAGAATACTGTTTTATATGTTATATAGAAGTACAGCAAGTCGTCGTCCACTCGGATTTTAATTTTTTATTTAAAATATCTGATCAAAACATAGTTCCTTCCTTATCGACGTTCGATAAACTCGAACTATTTATAGATGTCACAGTGTAGGGATATCTAAGAAGAGAAATGATTTATAAATTTTATACCGTAGATACGCTAGACGGTACCCATAACAGCAGAAAAAAATGAATAACTGCTCTTAATTGGTCATTAAATTCTCAATCAAAATCCATAATTGCTCACTTTATTAATTATTTATTTAATTAGTTATTAATAATTAAAAAATCATTTTTTCTGCTGTTGCGATTCTATGCCAACTTTTTTGTGGTGAAGTATATAGAAACTCACAAGCCCCCTTTTTTATCTACCCAGTATCATTTTTGTTATCACTGAGACCACCGTTGGACGATAGTAGGTACTTAACGCGATGATGATACAATACTATCAAAGAATACAGTATTCTTTGATAGTATAAATACTATAGTTCTATTGTAATAAAATTTTAAATAAATATATTTAATTTTTGAGTATATAAACATGTGTGTGCCTTCAGAAATGCATTTATACATATATTTTAAAATGAAGCAATTTAAGACACTCAAATAAAAAAAAATCCAGAAAGTTTGATGATAAATCCAACGCTGATCACCTGTAACAAGAAGAAAACTATATTAGTCATATAGTCAAAAGTGATACAATAGCCTAACATATAAATTGTCCAATTTGCAGATGCACTTTTCAGTTGAATTCTATATTTACTTTAATCAAATCTCTATCTATCCTTGTAATGAAATTAAATTTAAACTCGTGATTTTACATTTACATAAAATAAATAAAAATAAAGAAATAGGAAAAATAAAAATACTAAGTTACTAGAAAAAATACTATCTATTAATTATCGTAAACACTTTTAATCTGCATTATATAGAAAAGAAAAATTGCTAATTTAATAAAATATACGAACACAGTGACAAATTTTAAAGACGAAACAAAAAAAGAGAAAAATTATTGTAGTATTTACCGAACGTTATTTAGACTTCAAAATTTAATAATACAAAAATTTTAATATTTCTGAATCTAACTAAACACATATGCATCTTTTTGACGATTTTGATAGACACAAATTTGGTGTCCCAAGGCGACGGAATGGTCCATCATCTCCAATTACAACTACAAATTAATGACGAGCAAAAAAGTAATATAATAAAATATAAAATATGACTAGAGAGCTATTTTCGAAAAGTTCGAACTTGCTGTTGAACTTTTGAAAATAACTCAATAGCCTCAATAGTAGTTGCCCACTTGATACTACAAATTTGTGGGGGCCTCTTCGGCCTTAGCCTCTTCGGCATAATGCCTCTTCTTTCTTCATGCCCTAAACTCTGCTGCGAGGCTTTTTCTAAGCGCATTTTACAATACAGATCGTACAGTTACTCGAATGCCTCAACAGATATTTGATCTAATCGATGAACCTATTATTAACACTTTGCATTTAAAAAATTAAATAATATCAAACAAAAGCAGAAACTTTGTWATACATCTTATGGTTTTACTTTTTTACTCGACCACTTTTATCTT